TCATCCCCCTACGCTTCCCCCGTCCGTTCCGATACTCACCTTCGGACCTGACTACTCTCCTTTCCGCCACTCCCTCTTCCTTACCTGTCCCCTCTCTCCTCCTTCCGTTACCCTTCCGCCAAGTTACGACCGTCCACCGCTGCTCCGTACTTCACACTCGGACACCGTTCGTACCTTACTCCGAGCCTCCGTCATAGTCCCTACCTCGGACTTTGACTCCACCTCGGTCTTAGTCCATTGCATTGGTGACCTCATACTACGTAAACACCATTGCCAATATTCCTCAGACTTCCAACCCCGCCTCCGTAACCTCCGTAAGCTCTGCAACCCCTGAGCTTCGCGGACCGCCTTCGGCACTCTCGCCGCCTGTAATGTATTTCTCGCATTTTCCCTTCATCCCTATTTGGACTACTGCTTCTTTCTATTCTAGCCAGTTAGTCATCATCCCCACTTCCCCTCATCCTCCTGCCCCTCTGGGCCTCGCCCTCTCTACCTCCTTTCGGACGTATCACAGGTCTTGCCCTATGACCTTCGGTACCGCTCCGCCCCCTCTACCCTTTGTTCCCGTTCGGACGTCTTCGTTCCGATTCGGTCACCCTTTGTTCTCTTTGTGCTTTTGCCCCTTCCATTATATATATCGGCGCTTGTACATACTCGTTTTGGTTTTAGTCCGAAATCGACCTGAAATGCCCCCAAGAGACTTCCTGCTCACCTACTGTGAAATTAAGGACCAAATGGACAAACAGTAATGGCACAGCGCTCCGCTTGAGTCGCTGAGGCCAAGGTCCCTCCACGCTAAGTCTCCGATTCCACTCCGGAGTCGTCCGTTTCCGCCCATTCTAACAACCGCGAGTGTCCAGCTTTGAGGTAGGGCCGCCCCCGGACGGAGGCTGGGCCCTGACACCCAACCACACCCCAGAACCACCTTCCCAGACTTCCCCCACTTCCCTGACCTCCCCATCCCTACATATCTCTCACAACTTCAGCCCGCATGTGAGCCCGCGGGAAAAATCACGTGGGTCAAGGCAAGCAACTCGCCTTAACCCATGTGACACCTTTTCCGAGTTGCGGGAACATGCTCGGCTTCTACCCGGAGTCACGTTATGAACTGTACAGTACACTTCCCTTTTATAGTAGCCAAGCAGGGAATAGGGAAACTTACCCTTCTTCTCAACTCAATCCCCGCTTAGGCAAGTTGTAGTTACCCTCTGTAATACATGACAACTCAATCCCTGCTTAGTCCCTTCAGTGAGTTTGAGGAGCTGAGGACAGGGTCTAGCGCCCAACCACCCGGAACACCACACACACCTAGGCCTGAGGTCGGGCTGTCCCTAATCGAGGACTGAGCCCTGACACCTGCCCATTGTGACAACTCTTCAATCGATTGGGGGAGATCGATGCAGAAAACATTGGTAATGGTCATGTCAATCCCAACGTTAGCACTAACAGTGGCCACTATGTATCGAATGGTCCCTGCATGAAGGGCAGCAAGGACTGCTTGACGGTCACTGTCATCCATTTCTGCGTGAAATGGAGATACCATTTTTGTCGCTGCTTTGCGACACTGGGTCACATCCATCCAAGGTAGTCCCTCCACTAGTTCCACCACAAGCCACTGACAAAGTGTCATCACTTTTTCAATGGTATGGCACGCAAACAAGGTCGGGGTCAGATCAATCGGTGAATTGATAACTTGTGGAATGACCCAAGCAAGGTCCGGAAATGTTGTGCTTTTGGTGGAATTGAGAAGGAACCAAGCACAATATTTCAAGTCAGGGCGGTCAATCGGTAGTTTAATGTTATGGAACTGATTCTTCTTGAACCCTAGGATCCCCTGGACTTTGGTGCGGGAGTCCTCATGAAGGGAAGCTGACATCGCAAGGAAAGTGATGCGTGTGGGTAATCGCGTGCGCAGTTCACATAGTCTCAAGTAGTCCTTTCAGAATGACAATCCCCATTGAAGTACAAGGTGGACTTCATCTATGAAGACAAACCCGAGCTTCCATATGAAACATTCATTGCGGAATAGTTTGGCCACTGGTGGGCTCTGAAGCATCTCTGGGCCCATCCCAATCACATCCCATATTCTGTCACTAATTTCCCTCCACAGATCCCATCCTTCTCTGGCAGCCATTGAGGCTAGGATGCTTGCACTCACTCCGATGAAGCGGACACCCTTCTGACGTGCCTTGAACTCCTAGATTTCTATTTGGTCCGTAAGTGCAGCATGATATTGAAGACAGATACTGACTTGGTCAATTATTAGTGACTCGGTTGGGTAGATGACAATGGCAATGTGATCCTTTCCTGCGGGCAATAACCGGTGCTAGGGTGAGGATTGACTTCCCGCTTCCAGTCCTAGATGTAAGGAACACTTCCTGTCCTTTGAATAGGTCGAGGGAATGTGAAATTTGCCATGGTCAGGGCTCCTTAATTCCCAGCCATTCCGCCAATATTGCACCCATCCATTCTTCGGAGCAAGTCTCAAATCGTCTCAAACTCTGATGGAGCTCATCAAGCTTCTTGTCATACTCATTACGCTTGAGAGATGATGCATCATGGAGGATCAAAGCACTCATATGGCAAATTTTCGGTGTGAGGAGAAATGAGAACCTGAGATGTCCCGAGACGTGATCTTTTGTATTGGATAACAAACTGGGAAATGGATATGAGAGACCCTTTACAAGCCTTTGCAACAATTCAATAAAAATCCACATAGTGAACCCATCAAGTTAGTCCCAGACTAGTCACGCATCAGAGGTCATAGGAGTCATGTATGGATAGAGCAGAGGGAGGTGGAAGATCCGGGATGAATGATCCTTGTCAACACCATTTTTTTTGGCACTTAAGTGGTTGTGTGGAATCAAATTAAATTGAAAACAAGAGCTGTCTGCAAGGAAGTAGTTTTTTTGGTGTAAAATGTATCAACAAGAAAATTTGCTAGTTGGACATTTCCAGCACCACTGTGGCTGGTGTCACACCAACATCAGGAAACCCCTGAGGCCAATTGAAATGGTTGAGAGCAATTCAATCACTCAATCTGCCCAATCTGCCCAATTGACTACTCTCAATCATCTCAATCACTACAACCACACATGGATCAGACTCGAACCCAGCTGTCTCCGCTTCGTGGACATGCACTGCACAATGTTAGAAAACAACTAAGTTCCCTTTGTATTACAATTCAAAAATCAGGTTTTCCGGGGGAATCCGCAATCAATGAACTTAATACAGTTTCAATATAAATAATTAGTCACATGTAACGGGGTTAAGGAGTTTCATGTCCGATCATCTACTCTGAGAACCCAGTGTGCGACACTTCGCTACGACAACTGGTTCACTTTGGCAGTGGTGATGCCTGCTGGCAAACCCCAAAACAACTTTAGGGTCTCAAAAAGGAATCTCTCAGAAGCGCCCCCCACACCCTTTGTGCCCCTTCACACTATGAACTTGCCTGTGGACCATGCAATGGATGTGATTAATTGCATGTCAACTAATGGATTCACCCTCATGTCTTTTCTGTCAACAATATTGACCTCCTGGGACTTTGGTAATAAATTAAGAGAAATTCACATCCAGATTCTCAATCCTGCACCTGAGCTTGGCAGCACAGCGACTGTGAGAAACTGGATCCTTACAAGTGCTCAAGCGATTTACACAGAAGAGATACAAGTACTTATGGAAAAAGAGAGCAGGCTTTGCATGAATGCCGCCCACCTTCACCTGACACAACTTGAAGATGGAAGAATCAGCATGCTGAAGCCACTATTCGAATCTAAGGCACCAGCAGTGTGGGCCCTGATCACCCATTTACTTACTGTGGAAAGCAAGACATGGGCAAGGCACTGGGCGAAGCCGGCACCTCCAAGTGCTGAGATGGGCAGTGGGAGAGCGGTGATGATGGGGATCATGTTAGTGCTGGAAAGCAGTTGAAGGGGAACTACAATTACCCAGAGAGAAATTACGCTCTGCTCTGAATTGTAAGTCAAAAGATTCTTAACAAATATGATCGATCACTGACTCTGGAATCGTACACAGAAAGGTGTTGTAATCATGTCGATTATCCTGAATAATTGCAATAGCCATTGCAATGCTTTGCAAGTAAAAAACTCCTTCTATTTGGCTGCCTCAAATGCATCGAAATCGGTTTGTGCATGGGCTGCACACTGCGGACTCGCGGTCTCCCTTTCAACCAGTGAGAGCCTTTGGACATCACTGATAATCAATCAGAAGGTCTTGAACAAAAGTCTTGGACCCACCTGTGTTACCAACATTGCATATGACAACTGTGTCTTCAAGTTCAGTGTTGGCCAGTCAATGGACCTCAAAGATTGGACATTTGAAAGCATCACAATGGGCCTGTTTTTTGCACCACCAAAGGAAGTGCTCCCTCAGCACTTAGAATATGCCCAATGTCAGAGACCAGGTCGAGACGAAGGAATGTCTCCATGGCAGAGGGCTTCGGCCTCAGCGACTTATGCCAGGAGCGCTGTGCCAAGTAACACGTCCGTGCCCTAACTTACTAACTGGCAACCAGAACTAAAAGGGGGTAAACTCTAGTCGATTTTATTACTGAGGTGTAACCTATGTACAAGTTGAGTATATATAGTTACAACGAGGGCAGGCCCATAAATGGCAGGGCCGAGCAGAGCGGAGCTAACGGAGTTAAACATTAGCCGATTGAATATTACCGACAAGTCAGGTTATGGGGTTAGCGGGATGGTAGGCGATAACCCAGAAGCGGAAAGGAGGGATAGGCCTGAAGGTGGGCTTGCAGGGCAAGCGAGTGTATTGCCCAGCGGAGGTGGGAGTGCGCTAGCGGACGTTGGAGCTGTCCAGAAGCCTTTGGGGCTCCATACTTAGGGAGGCATAGGTAATAAATTGAAAAGAGGGGGTGGTGACCATCAAGGGATACCGAGGTGATTGCAGAATATGGGAGCTCTGAGGTTAGTGAAGAAGGAGCGGAGGTAGTCTGGAGAGATCGGAGGTAGCGGAAGTCGATGGCCGTGGATGGATATGACACCCAATGGTTATGGGATACTCACCCAAATAATCCCAATGCCATAAACGTCCCACCCACAATCAGCCCCATTGACACTATACTGAAGAGTGAAGCTTCATTCAAGTTGGCGGAGCATTTTCAGTGGCACATTGCATCAGTATTAATTGAACAGCACTTCCCAGAAATGTGATTGCATCTTATCGACCCACCATCAACCTTCAGTTTGCCACCACATAAAACGGAGTTCTCAACAGCAGAAGCTGTGTATGCGAAAGCATCTACCATCGATGGGAATATCGAGGCAATAACATTGCTTCTTGATCAGAGTGGTATTGTGAAGGAAGGAGTTTTTGAGAAATATGTCATCCTTATTCATGGGGATCTTGGGACGATGGAGAAGATCAATGGGATCTTGAGCTTGCAGCAGATTGTCAGGGATCAGCAACGACCCTGGACCCTATGCCAGCTGCACATATGTGCATGGGAAGTATGCTGGTAATTCCCATCTACTCCGCTTACCTAAGCCCCGGTGGCCCGGATCATCTCCGGCATTGTTCTGGAACATTCTATGATCACATGATTCTATCGGCAATCCATTTGGTTTCCTTATTGCCGGACTCTACATGTATATAGCTGACCCTAAGATGGGGATGTCCCTTTCCCCTGGCTTTAATCACAACAAGGTTATTGGAGCAATTTGCGTGAGCATGTGCATCCCCTGACACGGATTGAGGAAAATGTGTTCGAATGAATGCACTACCTTCTACCTGTACCAGGACTCTTTCATGTCAGAATGGCATGTGTCAACACAATAAATAGGATCTATGCAACAGGGGATGGCTTACGAAGTGACCTGAATGGGCTCTACAAGCTCCTATGTTCGCTTTTCCCAAATGACATCTCCAAATTGAACAAACTAGTCCCTCCTTTTCAGATGCTGAATGATGGATTACATTATGTTACCCAGTGTACAATTCTTGATGCATGGGCAGAGAGTTTGGGAGGCGACATCAAAGGATTCGTGGCTTCCAAGCCCACATTGGAAGAGATCAACCAACATGCGGGGGAGATCACAAGGACACACTTTGGATCAAAACGAAATAATGTTATTAATCAAGAAGACTACTTATCATGGTACATGCATCTAGGTTGTCTACTCAGGTACAGGGTCTGGAAAAACAATAGAATACATTGTTAGTCAGTCATCGATAATTCAGGCTTATTGAACCTGCATTGAAGATGTTGAGGAAGATTACCACATACCAAACAAGACCCTTCAACATGCAACTCCTGACATAGAATCCAGATTAGTCGCTATCCAATGCAAACTTCATAACCTTCATCCTCACAAATATGTGAAGGGACGTGCTTCACACACCTTGATAGAAGATCACATTCAGAAGGGTCTTGAAGTATTCCAACGTGGCACAATGGGAGGGTCAAACAACATAAGACAATCGGAATCAACAGATGAAACTGATGAGACTTACCAAATTGAGGCAGATGACTTGGACGTTTGATGATGTGGTATGGTTAAATCAGAGTGAGTGGCGGAATTTTCCTTGTTTGGACAGCATGTCCCTAAAACAATGTTAACATATCATGTTTGTATGTAGGAGCACGCATTACTTACTGGAATGACCTGGCTGGTTACAAGCCTTGCATTGCTTGGGGCAAGTGCGAGCTAGCAGAGCAATAATGAGTGTTAAACATGTCGGAGTGACCAAAGCATCTCACCATTGTGCCTGCAGTTGCCACAGTTTCCGCACTTTTTCATGCAAAGAGGAAGGGCAGCCCCGGTTTCTATTAAGGTGGAAGGCTGAACAGGCAGTTGAGGCTGAGCAGGTGGTGGTGCAGGAAGGGGGAAAGCTGTAAGAATGATTGGTAATAACATGGAGGCATAGCAGCCTCGCTCCTCCCAGTCAATGAGTTGCATAAAGTCTTGGGGAGTTGACAGCCAGTTGAAGTTTGCATGGTACACAATATCATCGATGATGGAGTCCCCAAGTACTGCCCAATCGCCTATCCACAAGTTGTCTTGATGTCCAGGATAACGGTGAGAAAACTCGTCTTTTCTCCAGTCCTTAAGGGCATGGCTGAGCTGAGTGGAACGCTTGACATCCTTTATGTAGTTTGGTTTCACATGCTGAGGATGCCACTTGGATGGTTGCTCTGCAAGTTCCTGATGGAACATAGAGGCAGAAAGACTTGGGGTGTGAAGATCACAGCAAGTCACGGGCTCGTGCAAATCACAGCATTTACAACATGAACGGGGTTTTGCTGACATAAGTGAGTTGCATGCACTTGCCAGACATAACCTCAATACATACAGATGCGGTCATTACCGAAGTGTACCTCAAGGACTTTCCTCTGGCATCCAAGGCAAGGGTCATCTTTCGGAAGCCATTGGGCATTGATGAAGGCATCCAATCCAGGGTCAACATTTTCATGGTCTCCTGGGTTTCTTCTGGTCTTCTTCTTTTTGGGTGTCTTCGAATGCGGCATCATGCCAAACTGCTTCGGTCCGGTCGCTGAGGTCAGTATTGACGTCTAAATCTCGGTGGCCCACTTGCTCACTTGTCCACTTGCCACAGCTTCCCAACTATGATCACCTTCCCCCATCCCTGCCCATGCATCATCAATGTCTTTCTCTGCCTCATCAATCAGTGCTTCAAGATCAGCGAATGTCAAATTGTCCCATCCTTCCCACTCCACCTCTGGGTTGAGAGGTTGTTTCTCCTTGTCATTGATGCCCACAATTTCGAGTGGAGGATCAGGGCCAATATCACTAGTAGGCCATACATCGACCCTGGGCGGAAACGCTGGATCTGGACAGTGCAGTTCAAGTAAGTCGTCATCAAATTTCTGATTTTCGGTGGTGATGGCAACATCAACTTGGCATTCTGTCCAAAGCCTTTTTCGATGCTTGTCGCTTTGTCTCTGCTCAGCCGTTGCAGCATTGCTCTTCTTCTTCCGGCTCTCTGCTGACCTCAGAGCCCTCTCCTCTCGCTGGCAACAGGTTGGCTCAAAGTAGTCTTTCGGCACAAGAAGAACAATGATTGCCGAAATGTCCGGATTTCGTGCAGCTCTTCCAAACCGCTGAGTCAATGTGTTTAAGTTATCTGGTGGACCAAACTGAATCAAACAGGTCACATTTGCTAGATCATGGCCCTGTTTAATCTCATTCAGATATACAACACAAGAGATACAACAAGAATTCAAACCAGTCCCAATGCTTCTGTACTTGTAAGTCCAATGAGTTTCCCTTCCTTAAATGAGTTGACTACCTGCAACTTATGTCCATCTGACATCCCGGAGTGAACCCAAACAACTTTCTCTTGGAGGGATGTGCAAACTCGTGACCTGAGGAAGTTGGCACTCCACTTGGCATCGCTCTGGGATTCACAGTACACGAGAAATGGGATCGGAGGGGGATTGGATTCTTTTAGGCCAAGCAGGACAAGGAACCCAAGGTCACTGCATGATTCTTTGCTGTGTTGCATTTGGCAGACACAGTGATGGAGGTTTGGGTGGTCATTGGAGCGACGCATCCATTTGGTTGTCTTGCCACTGTAAGCGTTATACCAAGGGTCCAAGCCAATTTCTGACAATAATTTTCTGCACGTTGTTGTGGGGACAACTCCGTGTACCGCAAAAAGTCGGATTCTGCGGAATTTGGCCACAAACACCCACTACATACCTGCTGACGCTCCCGATGCTCATTCTATCACTATCCAACACTACATACACTCATTCCTTATTTTTCCTTATTTTCCCCATCATTCCCGACAACCCCAAGCAAAATTCCCACGCCCAACCATGCCGCCAATTTCACCCCCTCTCCACATCTCAAGAACCACTGCACCAAATGGGATGAATAAGGGCTCGTTGGAAAGCTGGAGACGAGGAGGTTGCTGACGGGAGGATAGGCGGGCGCTGTGGCGAACTGTTGCGGAGTTAACCTTCACAATTTCCATTTCGGACCCGTTATCACATATTCCCCATTCATTCATTTTTCTTTTATTGTTTCTTTGTTCCCAATTGGATATTCATCATTTACGGTTGCCTAACGGCCCGTTTACATTCCCCCAGCCCATTCATTTCATTTCCAACTCATATAAAATAGATAACAGCTTGTACATAACAAGTTAGTATTGAATAGACCCGTGAAGGGACAAGCAGAAGTTGCATCCAAGTAGCAAAGACGCCATCCACGACCCTGACGCCCCCTCTGAGTTAGTTGCTTACATCTAAGACCCCTCTTATCAGAATCCTCAGCCTTGACGTCCAAGAGAGACGTAGGTGAGTGTTTGTTTGAGGTTCTAGCAGACCCGGTAGCGCCCCAGTGTCAGAGACCAGACTTGAGATGAAGGAATGTCTCCGTAATGGAGGGCTTTGGCCTCAGCGACTTCTGCCAAGAGCGCTGTGCCTAGTGACACGTCCGTGCCCTAACTTACTGACTGGCACTTAGAACCTAGGGGGGGTAACTCTAGTTGATTTATCTGCTGGGGCGTAACCTATGTACAAGTGGTGTATATATATGGTTACAGCGGAGACGGTTCCGCAATTGGCGGAGCCGAACGGAGCGGAGCTAACGGGGTTAAGACATTAGCCGACTGAATATTACCGACGAGTCAGTTCGCGGGGTTAGCGGAAAGGCAGGCGTTAACCCAGAAACGGAAAGGAGGGATAGGCCCGAAGGTGGGCTCTGCAGGGCAGGCGAGTGTATTGCCCAGCGGAGGCGGGAGTGCGCTAGCGGACGTTGGAGCTGTCCGGAAGTCTTCGGGGCTCCGTACTTAGGGAGGCGTAGGTAATAAATTGAAATGAGGGGGTGGTGACCATCGAGGGGTACCGAGAGGTTTGCGGAATACGGGGGCTCCGAGGTTGGTGAGGGGGGAGTGGAGTTAGAACGGAGGGATCGGAGAGACCGGAAGTCGATGGCCGGGGATGGATATGACACCCAGGACCAAAACCTGGCCGCACGAACCACACCCGTGCACACTACCACCCTCCCCCTTCTCTCTGTCTCGGGTCTAGGCGATAGACCCGTTACAACGTGTGAGCGTCCAATGTGGCGGAAGTTAGATACCATTGGCATCTATTCTGGAGGTATGAGTAAAGCCATGTTAGGTTTTTATATGCTGCTTGGAATGACAGCCACTGAACAGCACAGTGTGCTTCATCCACAATGATACAGTTAATTTTGTCAACGAATGCATCACTCATCCACAGAGGTCTAAGCAAATTCCCTCGCAGTAAATCAGGTCCTAGAATGACAAACTGATATACTCCATTCCTGATCTCCTGCTCGATGAATAACATAACTGCATAACCAATAATTGATAAATACATGCCTGTCAGGGCACACCCGCCCGACCCGCCTCCACCCAGGCCCACCTCACCCGGTACCCCTTCTCTCACCCTGCACCCTTCCTTCATATCCCTTCCCCCTCTATCCCTCCTCCACTTCTATTTCTATTCCTATTTCTATTTCTATTTCACACGGACAACCTTTCCCTTATATCTATGTATTATTGACCTGCCCGCAACGTGCACACGACATGCCTAGCCCTGGACGACCCCGGACGGCTCTAGGGTGCAACCTAGTGCATGTGCGTGCAGCATATGCCCTCAGGATCCCCCATGGGGACACCCGGGTGACCACGGCTGTATGCGGGGTGACATGGCGGACCTCATGTGACCCAAGCTGCATGTATATAAACACACCTGGGGTGGGAACCGAAGAAGTAACCTTCTTCTCAACATTCCCACTTCAGTCTAAGTGGCCAGGGATCGCTGTCCCGCATTGGGCCTGCCAGTACGCATGCCTGATCTACCCCCGTGAGGTCTTTAGCACCGGACGCTACGCCCAGACCACCTCGACCCCGGATGCGTCCCTGACAATGCCTTAACAGTTTCCTTGTTTATCGTCATCGCTTCCAGCGCTATTGCGGTGAGTCCTAGATCCTTAGCACTTTGCACATGTTGATCTGCCAGTTTTCTTAGTGGTACAATGATAAAAGAGACTCCCAGGTTTTCTTTCTCAAAGAGGGCTGGAAGGAAAAAAGTGTAGGTTTTCCCTGTCCCTGTTGCAGCTGTTGATACTAAATTCTGCTTTGGCTTGCGAAGCAGAAACTTGGCAATCTCAGCTTGGAACCAGCAAGCACGTCGGTTCCAAGCCACTTCACTTTGATTCCTTATATGCTTGGCGGAAGGCGTCCCCACATCCATTGCATGGTCCGCAGGTGAGTTCATAGTGTGAAAGATGGTGAAGGGGTGTGAAGGGTGTGGGGGGCGCTTCTGAGAGATTCCTTTTTGAGACCCTAAAGTTGTTTCAGGGTTTGCTGGCAGGCATTGCCACTGCCAAAGTGAACCAGTTGTTGTAGCGAAGTGTCACACGCTGGGTTTTCGGAGTAGATGATTGGACATGAACTCCTTAACCCCATTACATGTGACTAATTATTGATATTGAAACTATATTAAGTTCATTGATTGCGGATTCCCCCGGAAAACGTGATTTTTGAATTGTAATACAAAGGGAACTTAGTTGTTTTCTAACATTGTGCAGTGCGCGTCCACAAAGTGGAGACAGCTGGGTTCAAGTCTGCACATGGATATGTCCATGTGTGTGAGTCTGTTGTTTGCATCCAGGTGCTGTACAGTTTCAAATGAATGGGTTTGCAACTTAGAAGTTTTTTCTTTGCTCCAACTCACACACTCCACTACACTCTCTCTTCACATGCAACACCAAATTAACAACTCACAATACCCAAACAAACTGAGCTGTGGGAACTGCATGTACAAACATGATGATGCATGTCTCTTTTTTTTTTTTTCCAGTTGCATTCACAACGCAATGTTTTTTACTCCACCCCAGATGTTCCTTACTTGAAAAAGAAAGAATGAGGGTGGGTTTGTCACCCAAAACTACCCTGTGTTGTATGTCAAGTTGTAAGTATGGTGGTTCACTGTGTTTGTTGCTAAACTGACCACCTAACCACCCTTTTGTGCTTGTTTACATGAGCCACCACCATTCCATGATTGCCTGACCCTTCCCCAATACCCTCTGATACATCCCCCTCCCTTCCATGTCATTTCCAACCTCCAACCAAACTTCTCACGCATGACACTATCCCCAACTTCTTACCACATGTACTCAACAACCACTCATCCGTTTCCGACGATCTTAGGCTTGTTCGATAGAAGATAACTAGCTCTACCTTTATGCTGGGTTTGATGCTAAACGGTTCAGCGGTTGGGGCGCGCGTCTGCTTTCTTTGATTACATTGTATTTTCACCCACTTCTTTATTTTGTGTTTCATTTTGCATTACATTGTGTTTGGGTACTACTGTAATAACTTGTATCTGGGTTCTTTTCCCAAGTGTCAGAGACCAGGTTGAGACGAGGGAAAGTCTCCGTGGCGGAGGGCTTCGGCCTCAGCGACTTATGCCAGGAGCGCTGTGCCAAGTAACACGTCCGTGCCCTAACTTACTAACTGGCAACCAGAACTGAAGGGGGTAAACTCTAGTCGATTTTATTACTGAAGTGTAACCTATGTACAAGTTGGATATATATATGGTTACAGCAAAGATGGGTCCGCAAATGGCGGAGCCGAACAGAGCGGAGCTAACGGGGTTAAACATTAGCCGACTGAATATTACCGACGAGTCGGGTTGCAGGGTTAACGGAGAGGCAGGCAATAACCCAGAAACGGAAAGGAGGGATAGGCCCGAAGGTGGGCTCTGCAGGGCAGGCGAGTGTATTGCCCAACGGAGGCGGGAGTGCGCTAGCGGACGTCGGAGCTGTCCGGAAGTCTTTGGGGCTCCGTACTTAGGGAGGCGTAGGTAATAAATTGAAAGGAGGGGGTGGTGACCATCGAGGGGTACTGAGGGGATTGTGGAATATGGGAGCTCCGAGGTTAGTGAGGGAGGAGTGGAGGTAGACCGGAGGGATCAGAGGGACTGGAAGTCGATGGCCAGGGGTGGATATGACACCAAGTATGTATGCAACATAATGTTCAAACATAATAAATTTATTGATAAACTTCAATGTGGGAGAGAATGTGATAGCGTGCCGATACAACCAACCGTACAATCACTGAATCAGCTCAATCACCCCCATAATTGGTGTGATTACAATCAGGGGACCCAGTTGAAGTGATTGTAAATCATGTGAGGTTGAAATGATCTCAACCACTTCAATCAGCCTTGGGGGTTTCCTGATGAACCTCACGATGCTAATATACAGTAGTGTTGTGGATGCTTGTCAGGGTTCAGCACCCTGCCTTAGGGTGCCCCAGACTCCCCACCTACTTTACCCCTTTTATTCTTTGACTGTTGCCTTGTTGTTGCCTTTGTGTGTTGTGTACACGCGCGCACGGGATAGCGCGGGAACTTTCTGAGCGAGCAGCTCGCCCAGAATGTTCCCACGGGTCACAGCCACAGTTCTGGGTGAGCAACTCGCCCAGAACGTTCCCACGCTTACTGGGCACTGCCACCTGGATGTTCCCTCCGGGTCACACTACACAACTCTAGGAGCTGTATAGTTGTGGGCATGTGACCCATTCCTTTATATAGCAACCATGCGGGGAGATGAGACCTTTACCCTTCTTCTCATCTCATGCCCCGCATAGGCAAGTGTATATATTCCCTTTCTTTTACTATACATCTCATGCCCTGCATAGTGTGAGGACAGGCCAGATGGGGGTTGAGGTCAGGGAGCCTCCGAGTCCGAGGCCGGGCCCTGACAATGCTTCTCTATTTATTTGTGCTGAGAATGTATAGAATTGTATATAAACCCTTGGGGTAGCTGTAAAGGGTGGACCAGCCTTTACTTCTACCCTGTCAATATACAGCCCATAAAAGTGTATCTTTAGATGGACCACTTGAGGCCTGAGGCGAATGGGGGAACAGAATGTTACCGTCCCCAAACAAGTAAGCAGCACTACACTTTTTTTACGCCATATTCTCTTTTCCATTCTCGGCACCACATTACTGGTGCCGAAACCCCATTTGGCAACATGCACATTGTCGGTCCCTGACAACACACGACTTCAATCAAGTTCTCATGCAAACTTGTTGAACAACCCTCCTGATGTCTGCCTACAACACCAGGAGCCACTCCAATGCTCCCACCAACATGGCCGGTCCCTCCACTGGCTGCAGGGTGGAAGTCAACACCACTTCGCTAGATAGTGGTGACCTGGACCTGCAAGGGCCCAGCGATGTGTCTCAGATGCATCAGATCTTTCCAAGAGATGTTGACCAGGTTACAATGTCTGAAGCCTTGGAGGAGGTCTCCAAGATTATGAAGAGAAGGCAAACTGAAATGAGAGAGTTTGCTGAGGAAGCCTTATGGAAAAGTAAGGAAAAATCAGCGAACAGACTCTTCCATGAAAAGGAAGCACCCTCTGTGACTGCCTCACCTAAACAAAGTGAGCGTGGAGTTTACACTCCAAGAACCCCTTCTGGAACTCCCAGAAGCGGCAATGTTAACTGGGGAGAGTCACTACTCGCCCAGCCCAACTTCCTCCTGGATAACCAGGAATCTGTTTAGAGCAACGAGAACTAAAAGGGGATCAACTCTAGTCGATTTTATCACTGGGGTGTAACCTATGTACAAGTTAAATATATATAGTTACAGCAAGGGTGGGCCCGTGAATGGTGGGGCTGAGCGGAGCGGAGCTAACTGTTAGAGACCAGATCGAGATGAAGGAGTCGTCTCCATGGTGGAGGGCTTTGGCCTCAGCGACTCAGACCAGGAGCGCTGTGCCAAGTTACACGTCCGTGCCCTAATTTACTTACTGGCAACGAGAACTAAAGGGGGATCAACTCTAGTCGATTTTATCACTGAGGTGTAACCTATGTACAAGTTATAGTGGATTCTGAAATAATGGAGAAAAGTTGAACGAGCGAAGACCCTGTTCAACCCGAATTGGCAAGAGCTAATGATTTTGTTGATGTACTTGTCAATATACTTGTCAATATACCCATCAATATACCTTTGATGCACATCAAGCAGAAACATATTGATTACAATCCCAAAAAGGACTACACAATGAGCATGGAAAAAAATAATGGAAAATGAGGTGGGACCATCTGTCCTGTGTTTGACCACTTGAATCCCCCATCTGAGTCGCGAACATGCAAACCAACTTCCAACTTGGAGGGACACCCCTGGGTGCAGACAAAGAAGATGCACAAAGTGAACAGTTCAAACCAATTTGTGTCACAGTTACACTTTCAGTGCCAAAGGAGGGCAAGAAAGGGAAGGTTGCAAGGAAACCGGACACCATGCAGAAGCAATTCCAACTGGATGTGCTTGGAAGTAACAATGTGGTCAAGCCCTCTGTCTTTTGGAAGTCCGAGCTTGAAGCATTGGGTCCTACCTATGTTGCGACATACACTCCTGGTGATGACAGCGGTCAATGGCCAGATTTCAAGTGGAGGAAAGAGGGTGCAGCATACATACCTCATTTGCATATATTTATTAGATTATAACCAATCCTTGTCATCAGAGCCAACAAGGGTCTTCTAGTTGAGACAAATGATGAATTTTCGTTGATGATTCAAAGCATCCGTGACTGGATGTTGCTTGGCATTGTTGTCACAGTTGATCTGGATGGCTTTCAGGTGATGCTGCAGTCAACTCAGATGGTATGCTGCCTCTTTGTTGTAAGATAGATTAGACTGACAGTCAAATAGATGCCCAGTCATTTGGCAGGTGGCTATGGCACTGGAACAAAGTAAGGACAAAAATTGTTATCACAGATAAGGTACTTAGGGTTATTTAGGCACCTGGGGCCACAGATTTTACTCCCATAGAGATAGAATGCACTGAAAAAGTCATCAAACTTCAGGAGTGGTGGATATGCACAGACCCTGAGCACGGAGGACAATACTGTTATGTCTGCAAAGTTGGTGACTCCTGTATTCCATTGTCACCATATGCCCTAAAGCACTGTGCATCTAGCTGGGTGAGTCCGCATAATGAGTTCACAGTAATGATAACAATTTTACGTGACTGTGACAGTTAGAGGGCTTAGCATCATTAGACAGCCCACCCAACACCCAATATTTCAATCAGGCCACTCACCATCGATCCAAATCCCAGTCTCAAGGCCCAGTGAATCCACCTAGTAATAGCCAACTCGAAACCCTCACAACACTGGCACTTGCAGCAGTTATGTCATCGCTCAATCCGAAGCCTTCAGTGGCATCACCTGACAAGTCCCCAGAGTCCCTGTCACCAAAGAAGAAGGCAGATCTACCACAACCCCCTAGTAGCCCTCAGAAAACAGGGCCAATTCTCACACACTCCTCGATTGAAAAATTTGTGAGTTGGTGCAAGGTGATGCGTGGCGAGGATTGGAGTGCTTGCATGAATGGCATGCAAAGTGAGGAGATCTATCCAGATGATTATCTTGGGAAGCTTTCCAATGAAGAGCTACAGAACTCTCTTGGTCTTGGTCTTGGATCTGTTCACCAATTTCACGCAGCAGCATCTGAGTTCTGGAAATTGCAGGTCAAGTGGTGTCGTGTGGCCTTTTCTGATCCAACACTGAGTGTGCAGATGAACCCAGCTGGTCCTTCCTCAGCCAAACAGAAGCGCAAGACACCTGATGACCCAAATGACTGGGTTGTGGTCCCCTACAAGCGGAAGTACCTGATGGTGGTGAGAAGCGATTCCATTTCTGCCACTTCAAAGATGGCCATACTCCAACTTATGATGATGGTATACCGGTATTCAATCCCCCTCTCAGTGACAATATCGATGACATGAGGGACCAGTATGTTGAAGAACAAGTCAAGCTACATGATGAAGGAGTCAAAGATTATGTGTGGTCACGGAAGGAGGGTATTGGATGCAAATCCCACTGACTCGAGGTGACTTCTTCAATCCACTCACATGAACAATGAGGAGTGGTGGTGAACCATGTCATAATCTCATACATGCATATATATATATTTGTGGCCATATTATAATGTGAACATGGAAACAAATTCAAAAATATCCCGATGCACAATACCATCTTCATGCCTGTGAACTGCTAACCTGAGAACATGCATCATAAATGAAGGACAGGGGAGTTGTATGATGGACAGCATGGTCATAGTGACAGCACATCCAGCTCTTGATGAATGAAGATGACAGCTCAATTTGGGCAAGTATGGCGGCAAGTACAGCAAATGGCCACCTGAAATATGTTGAATCAAAGAGAACAGAGAAAAAAGGACATATCACACCTGCTTCAACCTCAATAAGCAAACGGACCTCATTGCTGTGGTGGATAGAACAATTGCCTAAGAGGAGGACACTCCATGGTCCAGGATATGGCCACATGATTGGCACCTAATTACTCTAATGCATCAGTGGGCAGTGACAAAAACAATGGCCAAACTGACAACATGCTCACGTAGAAACCCAATAAACCTTTCTCCAGTGATTGGACCCTCAAAAACCTCACATGCAAGATATCCACCAATGCCCATCACAGGAAGAATTGAGTAGCGAGTCCCTTGGATGAATTGTGCACAGACAGGACAATGCTTCCCAAGGTGAGCATATCCCCACCAGCGTGAAATAGTCTGTTCATCCTTTGAACTTTCATCAGTACAGATGAGCATGTCCAAATTGTGGACAAGCTCTGTGAAGTGGCACTTGAAAGCAGCATGGACAAGCTCATTTCGCTCAATTGCAACCCAGGTCACCTGCTTACATGTGAAAAGCAGAGAGTTGAGTGCCCGCTTGAGGGTGGCTGCACCAACATCAAGGCCAAATTCTGTGCAAACGTGAACTTGGAGCTCATTCAAGTGTAGTGTCCTGTCATTGTCAAGATAGTTCTCAATGAAGGTAATGGCATCCCCTGGGAGAGCATGCAGCTGTCCGAGTGTTCCAAGCTTGGGTGGCCAAATGCTGTTGGTAGCCCTCCATCGCTTCAGAATCCTGTAGACCAGGCATTTGCTCATGGAAAGGGTACGACTGATCTGGGTGGCATCTAGCCCATCAAGCCAGAGAAATGGAATGTGTAGCTTGAGGTCGCCACTGAGAGTTTTTATGTAGGGCACGGTGGTAAGATGTGTGGGGTGTTGGATGTTGTCTATGTTCAGTTCAGTTTGCACTAGTGCGGCCAGGTGAGTTTTCATACAGCTGAGCGAGGAACTAGCCCAGACAGCCACCTATTACATTCATTTCGGACTATTCTGCTCCCATCATGAAAGCTATATTGTCATATATTGACAGGAAGCACAAGCACTTCCTCTTTAGAGACTTGATATCATTGGTACGTAATTTACAGCACTAACTACTTTGGGTTGAACAGGGTCTTCTCTCATTCACCTTTTCTCCATTATTTCGGAATCCACTGTAAGTATATATATAGTTACAGCGAGGATGGGCCCGTGAATGGTGGGACTGAGTGGAGTGGAGCTAACGGAGTTAAACATTAGCCAATTGAATATTACTGACAAGTCAGGTTATGGGGTTAGCAGAATGGCAGGTGATAACCCAGAAACGGAAAGGAGGGATAGGTCCGAAGGTAGACTTGCAGGGCAAGCAAGTGAATTGCCCAGCGGGGGCAGGAGTGCACTAGCAGATGACGGAGCTGTCTGGAGGCCTTTGGGGCTCCGTACTTAGGGAGGCATAGGTAATATATTGAAAAGAGGGGGTGGTGACCATCAAGGGAGGTGGAGGTGATTGCGGAATATGGGAGCTCCAAGGTTAGTGAAGAAGGAGCGGAGGTAGTCTGGAAGGATCGGAGGTAGTGGAAGATGATGGCCATGGATGGATATGACACTAACAGAGTTAAACATTAGCTGATTGAATATTACCAACGAGTTGGGTTATGGGGTTAGCGGAGTGGTGGGCTACAACCCAGAAACAGAAAGGAGGGATAGGCCCAAAGGTAGACTTGCAGGGCAAGCAAGTGAATTGCCCTGCAGGGGCGGGAGTGTGCCAGTGGATGTCAGAGCTGTCCAGAGGCCTTTGGGGCTTCGTACTTAGGGAGGTGTAGGTAATATATTGAAAAGAGGGGGTGGTGACCATCGAGGGAGTCGGAGGTGATTGTGGAATACAGGAGCTCTGAGGTTAGTGAAGAAGGAGTGGAGGTAGTCCAGAAGGATTGGAGGTAGTGGAAGACAATGGCTGTGGATGGATATGACAGTATCCCCTTCTGAGGTACTCTCCAAAAGTGTAATCCTGCATCATGAAATCATGAGGAGTCATGACATGTCATGACAATTGAATTGAATAAGACATTTTTTACATTGAAAATTTTGGATTTCATGACAGTTCATGACAAATTGTCATGAACTGTCATGTGCTAACAAGGTTCATGACTGCTGGTGACACAACATGACATGATGCCTCATGGAGGTTCATGAGTGGTCATGATGTTCATGAATGTTCATGACCTTTCATGACAGGTCATGAAGGTTCATGGAGTGTCATGGAGTGTCATATGTTTATTTTGACCTTTCCCCATCATGTAAAATGCTATAATGTCCCATGATGCATCATGGACATTCATAATGCTCCATGAACATGTATGATAAGTCAATGCATGAGATGTCACAAGCACTTATGAACTGTCATGTGACAGACCTTATTTGTGACAGCACTGGCTGATCAACCTTGTTAAAGACCAGATGCGGGATGAGGGAGATGTCCCCATGGTGGAGGGCTTCAGCCTCAGCGACTTAGACCAAGAGTGCTGTGCCTAGTTACACGTCCATGCCCTAATTTACTAACTGGCAGCAAGAACTAAAAGGGGGATAACTCTAGTCGATTTTATCACTAGGGTGTAACCTATCTACAAGTTATGTATATATAGTTACATAGAGGGCGGGCCTGTGAATGGCAGGGCTGAGTGGAGCAGAGCTAACAGAGTTACATGTCAGCTGACTGAATATTACCAACGAGTCGGGTTATGGGGTTAGCGGAATGGTGGGCTATTGTCAGGGCACACCCACCTGACCCAGGCCCACCCGGGCCCACCCGGCCACACCACACCCGCTCCCCGCTGTCTATCCCTCTCCTCCCCCCTCTTTTCCCTTTTCTTTCCCCTTTCTTTATTTCATTCTTCTCATCTTCCTCTTCCTGTTTATTTCTTTCTATCTACACGGACCACCTTCCCTTGTATCGATGTACTATTGACCCGTCCGGCCCACACACCCCGGACGGCTTCCCGCTGTGCCCAGCACGCGCGCATGTAGCGGACGCTCTCGGGATCCCCCACGGGGACACCTGGATGCCTGCGGCTGCCTCCGAGGATGACGTGGCACCTGTCATGTGACTCAAGCCGCATGTACATAAATGTACCTGAAGTGGGAACCGAAGAAGTAACCTTCTTCTCACATTCTCCACTTCAGGTAAGTAGTATAGTTTTCCTCTTTAATAATAATAACACATTCTCCACTTCAGTCTGAGTGGCCAGGGACCACTGTCCCGGATCGGGCCCGCCAGTACGCACGCCCGCTCCACACCCCGCGACGGCCTCAGTGCCGGGCATTACCCCCGGGCCCTCTCGACCCCGGACGCGTCCCTGACATGGAGGTAGTGGAGGACAACGGCCATATATGGATATGACAAACCTCCAACTCATGGACTTGTGTCAGCGCTGCACTGAACTCCGCTTTTCCTCCAGCCACCTTTGCTGCTTGGTGTCAGAAACGGTGCTTGAGGGTATTCATGGGAAGTGGAGCAGAGTATGGCAGTGTGAGTGATCACTTAGCTGATAGGTTACTCCATTGCAAGGCATCAGGGGGTTGGGATGTTGGTTTCAACAACTCAGGGGAGCATTGTGCCACACACTCTAGGCTATCCTGTATTTCAGGTGTAGCAGAGGGAACCTGGTGGTGATGTAAGCTCAAGTGAAGATGAAGTCAGAGGTGAACTATGGACAAGAGGACTTGGGGGGTATTCTAGTTGACATTCAAACTGGGGTACATAGGTAGTATACTATCCACAACACATAAATAAACAGAAGAGGGGCTGGTCAGTCTGGCACCTGAATGGGAGGCAGAGTGGTGAACATGACAAACTAAACAAGGGACGAGAACCAGGGAGACAGAGAGTGAGAGAATGAATGAGAGTGGAATGAACAATTAAACAAAGAAACAAAGTAGGGAGGCAACTGACAACCTGGGTGCCAATATAGTAGCAGATCAAGTGTCAATATTTTACTTATTCATTCTTCACCTGGGTTCTTGTCTTTGATCCAATTTAACAATCCCCACTCATTTCTGCACTGGACCAACTGGCCCTTCCCATGATTTCTCTCCCTTATTTATACCTTGTAAATACCTTCAGGGACCTTAGTCTGAAATCAACTAGAGCAACCCCCCTCTTGTGTGATGCTTTCATATCACTTTCAACTCAAGGGTAACATTTAATTAACCATTATGCCCCCAATTGTCATTGTTGTACCAAGAATCTAATTTATGGTCGATCACAATGATTCTTGGGAAGACTCATAGTGATTCATGAAGGTCCATGAGGGTCCATGATCCATTATGAAGGCTCATGACACTTCATAGACAGGCATGTAACCACTTAAAACCTGCCTGGAACCACTTAAGTCATGAGCAATCATAACCCCCCATGCAGGTTCATGACATCTCATGAAATTCCATGATGGTTTGTCATGAACCAGCATGACTGTGTATGACACTTCATGCTGCTTCATGAAGTTTGGTGACCATTCATGAAATGTCATGACTTCCATGACGGTTCATGAACTGCCATTACACTTTTTGCAAGTTACTGCCCCTTCTTAGGCCTGAACCCTTGAAGGCCCAGAATTAGTAAGGTGAGGGGGGCTGTACTTACAGAAAAAAAAGAAAACGGGAATGAGGAGTGGAGAGAAAGGAGAGATGGGAGAGGTATCGAGGTTCCTAAGGAGCTTCGGGACCAGGCTTGTCTGGGTACCGAGAGTGGAAAGCTTTGACGAGGTCGGAGGCGTGATTGAGTTTGCTGGCAAGGAGCCATTGTGTCTCCTCATTGGTCCCTTCATAGCCTAGCCACTTGACCAGGTAGAGCAACTTGTTGTGTCTATGTCGGTCGATCTTGGAGTCGAGTATCTCCTTGATCTCGAACTCCATTTCGCCTTTGATTTCTATTGGAGGTGCAGGTGGTTGGTGGCGGTTCAGAATGACGTTCGGGATGGAGGGTTCGATCTGCTGTCAAAAACCCGGATCGTAGGGGAAAATGCATGAGTCTGAATGCAGGCAGGGCTCAACTAGAGGGGATCCGAGAGCTCCGGTAGTGAACTGAAGCTTCTCCAGGAAGCCTGGTTCTGCTGGATGGTACAAGAGGCTCTAAGAAGGATGTGGCCTCAGCGACTTGGAGGGAGCGCTGTGCCTCCATTACATCTCAGTTAGTCCTTGTATTTCTTATGTCTGAGGTATCTTGTAGAAAGGGGTTGGGATTCACTCAGAGGGACTTGGGGTAACATTTTAGTCGAGATTAGAACTGAGGAAAACTACAGGTTCTAATCTACAGGTATTTATATGGA